GACAAGCCTTCTTCTATTGATATTTTCTTCGTCGACCAGCTCTCCACTTGCGTACCCATTTTGAGGCTCTTGACCAAAAGAAGAATTGTATTCTACTGTCACTTTCCAGACAAGCTCATAGCATCTGGAGAGTTCGTTGACGTCAAAGGCTCCGCTACGCAGGGTGGTAATGACAACGCACCCCCGGAATCTGCGAGAAGTAGGAAGAAGATGAGCTTACTCAAACGAATATATCGCCTCCCTATGGATTTCTTGGAAGAAGTCACCACTTCAGCTTCTGACCTGATACTAGTCAACTCCAAGTTTACCGCTAGGGTGTTCGATGCTTACTTCCCCTCAATCAAGCTCGATGAAGCAGGTCGAAGAATTAACCCAAATCGAAGTTATGCTGAGGAGAAAGAGCGGAAGGTTGGAGGACCAAGAGTAGTTTATCCCGGTATCGACCTAAATTCGTATGAGCGTAGCGGACCTCCACGAAGTGAGGAAGAGAAATTGGTTTACTCGTAAGTTGCCATCAATTTGGAATCAAATCTACTGCTTACAATCTTGGATCCTAGTGAACGTCCGACGTTTCTATCGCTCAATCGTTTCGAAGGCAAGAAGAATCTGGCCTTGGCTATCGAAGCATTCGCCGGCTTCCTTCGAGATCTCTCCTCGAGCAGTAGCAAAAATATGAAGAATACCAGGCTCGTCTTAGGAGGTGGCTTTGATCCTCGACTCAAGGATAACATTGACACCTTCAATTCCCTACTCCATCTCATCAGCTCCCTCTCTCTCAGCTGGTGTATGCTTACATCCGCAAGCAATCAGTCGAAGCTTCCGCAGATTCCAGCAGATATTCCTCCCCAGACTTCAGTGACATCCGCACAGGTAGTCCTTCTTCCCAATTTCACAACTGCCCAGCGCTCTATCCTCCTTACTTCCTCTTCAACACTGGCTCTTCTATACACGCCCACAAATGAGCATTTTGGTATTGTGCCCGTAGAAGCCATGGCATGCGGTCTTCCTGTTGTGGCATGCAAGAGCGGTGGGCCACTGGAGACTGTCGTGGACAAAGACAACGATCAAAACGAGTCAGGGGAACGTAGGGCAAGTGGAGAGGGTGAAATGGGATGGAGCGTCGTCGACCTTCCCTCCCAGACATCCTCATCCTCTCAACCACCATCCAACCAGAGGACCGGTTGGCTACTTCCTCCTGTTTCCTCTGAATGGACCACAGTACTTGGAAAAATTGTCTCACTCTCTCAGACTGAGAGGAAGGCGATTTCAGAGAGAGCAAAGACGCGTGCGCGACAGTTATTCTCAATGGAAGCTATGACAGACAGTCTGGAGAAAGCCATTGAGGATGCATACGAGATGGGACCAGTTGGTTGGACAGAGATCATCAACTTTGAATGGATGGTGAAGGTGTATGTCGTATTGATTTCGCTCAGTATCCTGCTGTTGGGCGGGTTTTGGACGGTAGCATGGACTGGAGGGGTGCTAGTCACGACCGTAATTTATAAACGAGTCAAACTGGATGCAAGGCAATGAATCGCCCTGTCCAAGTATATACCTCTCATTCTGGACTCTTATTTTTTCTTTTTCTCCTTGCATGATGTCGGCGAATAATAGGTGCTAACGAGTGATTTACTGTATGGTGGATGATTGATAATGGATTAAACAGCATAGAATAGATATATTCGAGATGGAATACATTCCGGCACATATATTCGATGGGAATCATCGTTCTTTGTAGAGTATGACGTGGTATTTCTCGTATGAACTTGGCTTGTCCAATTTCACTTCCAATAGAATATGAGTCTAGCAGCACTTGCTGCCCTCGTTTGCACGGGTTTCGGTGGAAGGCGGGATGACAATCTTTTCACCGCCAGATGGCTTGATGATGTCAGGACCGGCCTCGAGAGACTTGCTCGAGACAATGTGGTAAATGTCTATTTGTAGGGGATATCATTAGGAAAAAAATAAAAGTGATCGGGACGAATACGCACCAGTAAGGATATTTTTGAACGCGCTGTCGACGTTTCCTCCGTTCATGGCAGAGGTCTCAATGAAGCTCAGCCCGTTCTCCGCAGCAAAGGCCTTGGCTTCGTCGGTAGGTACTGCACGGAGGTTGGCGAGATCCGACTTGTTGCCCACTAGAATGATAGCAATGTTCTGTAAGAGAAGTCAGTACATGGTTTAGCTCGAGTGGACAGATGGGAGTCATGTAAGGAAAAATAACGGATACGAACTGAATCGGCATGATCCTTCAATTCCTTTAGCCATCTTGCCACCTTTGTAAACGTGTCACGTTTCGAAATGTCGTAGACGAGTAGTGCACCGACTGCGCCTCGGTAATAGCTGTAAATTATGGAGTTGAGATGGGCCAGTCGATCAAGATATGCGACTTACGCTGCGGTAATGGCTCGATAGCGTTCCTGTCCAGCTATAGATTCTTAGCATCTCGTTCTCAAGAGGTAGAAAGCAGAGAATAGGAAACAGGGCTCTAAAGCACAAAAGAGACGCTTACCAGTATCCCAAATCTGAGCCTTGATAACTTTGTCATCGACATTGATGGACTTTGTAGCAAATTCCACGCCGATAGTCGATTTAGAGTCCAAGGTGAATTCGTTTCTTGTGAATCTGGTGAGGACTAGAGGAGAGCCGGATCTTAGTAAAGTAGTGCGTGGCATTTATAGGTGGCAAGAACGTACGATTGGATTTTCCGACTCCGGATTCTCCAATTAAGACGACCTATATTTACACGACGGGTTAGCTCTCGTCCATGGGGCTATTCTCGTCCCACAAGCCCACCCGACTTTCCGAGCCGGCGAGCCAGGCGACGCAAAGGGAAGGAGATGGAGGTCGTATCTTACTT